CCACCGCCCCGGGAGGCCAAGCCAGGCGGCGGCGACACTCACTGAGGACGAGGACGGGGCGCGGGCCCATCATCGCGGCGGCGGCGGGAGCGCGGAACCTTCTGGAGCCGGAGAGGGTGGGGCGGCCACTCCCAGAACTGCCGCCTCACGCTGCGCGACATCCTACCCCGCCTCCCCCCCGCCAACCACCAATCCCGACCCGACCCGCCGGCCCGACGTCCAATAGCAGGCGTTACTCCGCCTCCTCCTCCTCCTCGGTGCTCCCAGCAAGTTCGGGTGAGGAGCAGCGGTCCCAGCGCATGGGGCCGCGGCGCGTTGGGACTGCGCATGCGCAGACTGCCGGCGCTGGGCCCACGGAGAATGCGGGGGGGAAGCTTCGCACATGGGCAAAGGGAGGGACACTCTCGTGCCGCGCTCCCCTTTCCAAGTGGAAATACCGGAGCTGAATTCATCGTCTTCACAGGCGAGCTAAGAGGCAGGTCGGGGTCTCTGAGAACGGTGTTCGGAAGGGAAGCTGTTAATAGCTCCCCCCCCTTCCCGTCAGCTCTGTGGTCTCGCCCGCGCCGCGGTGCACCATGGGAGTGGCGGGCTGCCGCCAGGCACGCTGGGAGTGGTAGTTCCCGAGGCGCCGGCAGAGGCTCCTCCTCACCGCGGTACCGCCGCCCCGGAGGCTGGAACGGGGCTGTCTGAAGGGATCCGGGACCTTCCCGGTGCCACAGGGGCTCTGGTGTCCCCTCAGAGCGGGGCTCCACGGCCTGTAGCCTCAGGCATCCCCGCAGGAGCCGTGTCTGGAGGGTTGGTCAGGCCCGCCCGGTTGTTCAGTGTTAAATATGGGGAGAGACGGGCTGAGAGAGTTGGGGGGTTCAGCCTGGAGAAAAGAAGGCTCCGCGGAGACCTTGGAGCCTCTTCCAGTCCCTCAAGGGGCTCCAGGAAAGCTGGGGGGGGGGACTCTGGGATGAGAGAGGGGAGCCCTAGGAGGAGGGGGAAGGGTTGGACACTGAAAGAGGGGAGATGGAGCTGAGATGTGGGGCAGAAGTTCTTTGGTGTGAGGGGGGTGAGAGCCTGGCCCAGGTTGCCCCAAGAAGCTGTGGCTGCCCCATCCCTGGAGGGGTTCAAGGGCAGGTTGGAGGGGGCTTGGTGCAACCTGGGCTGGTGGGAGGTGTCCCTGCCCAGAGCAGGGGGGGGAATGTTTAATTTTTAAGGTCTCTTCCAACCCAAACCAGTCTGTGATTCTATAAAAACCAATAATAAGTCTTCATCTTCCTCTCTGAGAGCTCTCTCCCAGCTCACGTTAGCCAGTAAGAAAAACACAGAGAAGAAGGTTGGGTGCATTAACCCCCAGCAGCCAACTGCTGCTTGAGGAATGTGCTTTGCAGAGAAGTTTAAGCCTCTTCTTTGTCATAGAATGGAATCATAGGATCGTCCAGGCCAGAAGGGACCTCCAAAGGTCATCTAGTCCCACCTCCCCGCAGTCAGCAGGGACACCCCCAACTAGACCAGGTTGCCCAGGGCCTCGTCGAGCCTCACCTTGAATATCTCCAGGGATGGGGCCTTGACCACCTCCCTGGGCCCCCGGTTACGGTGTTCCGCTATCCACACAGTGAAGAACCCTCTCCTAATCTCCAGTCTAAATCTGTTCCCCTCCAGCTTAAAGCCATTGCCCCTTGTCCTGTCACTGCAGGCCTTTGTAAACAGGCTCTCCCCAGCCTTCCTGTAGCCCCCCCTCAGGTACTGGAAGGCCACTGTTAGGTCTCCCCGGAGCCTCCTCTTCTCCAGGCTGAACAACCCCAGCTCCCTCAGCCTGTCCTTGTAGCAGAGGTGCTCCAACCCCCTGAGCATTTTAGGGGCCCTCCTCTGGACCTGCCCCATCAAGTCCATGTCCTTCCTGTATTGAGAGCTCCAGACCTGCACAGAGCACTCCAGGTGGGGTCTCACCAGAGCAAAGTGGCAGAATCACCTCTGTGGATCTGCCAGCAACACTTCTTTTGATGCAACCCAATAGCTCAATGTCAGTAGCTCAAAGCTTCCAAGGCCAAGGACAGGTGTTTTCTCAGTGTTGAGTGATGGGGTCCTACTCAATCCTGGCATTGTAGCAAAACCTGCTGGGGTGTGGAGGTCATTCTCCCTCTCTGCTCTGCCATGGGGAGGCCACAGCTGGAGCACTGGGACCAGTTCTGGGCCCCCCAGTTCCAGAAGGACAGGGAACTGCTGGAGAGAGTCCAGCGGAGGCTGCGAGGATGATGAGGGGCTGGAGCATCTCTGTGCTGAGGAAAGGCTGAGGGACCTGGGGCTGTTCAGCTGGAGAAGAGCAGACTGAGAGGGGATCCCATCGATGCTGAGCAAGAGCTAAAGGGTGAGGGGGCAAGAGGATGGGGCCAGGCTCTTCTCAGGGGTGCCCGGGGACAGGACAAGGGACAATGGGGACAAACTGGGACATGGGAAATGACCGTGAGGGTGGCAGAGCTCTGGAAGAGGCTGCCCAGAGAGGGTGTGGGGTCTCCTTCTGTGTGGAGATTCCAAACCTGCCTGGATTTGATCCTGTGGGACCTGCTGTGGGTGACCCTGCTTGGGCAGGGGGTGGGACTGGATGATCTCCAGAGGTCCCTTCTAGTCCCACCAGTCTGGGATGCTGTGGGAGAGAAGTCCAGCCCATGATTTCGCTGCCTCAGTGACTGGTGGCTGACACTGATTTAAGCTCTGCGATGCTTTCCAGAGTCTCCAGCTTGGATCCCAGAACGAGAAGAGTGAGTGCGTGGGGAGCTGATGGCAAAGACCGGGAATGGAGAACTTCAGTAAAAGAACGAGTATGAGGTGGTGCATGGAGCCAGCGGCTGGAGCCCTGGAGAGGTGGATTCACAGGCTGCTCACTGGTGTGTGTGAGGAGGAAGAGGAGCTCTGGGGTGTGGGTCTGTTCCCACAAACTGGCAGATAAAACTTTCTAAGACTCAATTGAAAGTTCAGAAAGCAGGCATTCTTTGTTGCAGCACCAGGTGCTCCTCCTGTTGTGCACTGTTGTCTAATTAAGTTTATACACAACAGGTATACATATTCAATGCAATTCCAAGAAAATATTAGCATATTCATTACATTTCTGATCATTCATTTACATATAATAATAAGCTTTGGGGCATTCGTAGTTGTGCCTTCTGGTGGTTCTCATTTTGACTGAGGGTCATTTCTTCTTCAATCTTCATCTTCTTCACCTGGCCTTTGGCTCACTTTTCATGTTGGCAAAACATTCTAACTGCTTAATTGTTCATTAAAACTAATGATCTCCCAGCTACCACCTGTTGGTCAGACAACGTCCATATTTATTGCATCCCTGTCTTAGGTCACCATGTTCTCAGGGCCACAGACATCCTTTCTTATCTTACTAAGTCCTCGAAACCATTTGGGGTGGTTACTAAAATAGGTACATTTCTTTTCTAAAAGAAGATTCTCTACAGTTTAACCACTTATAAACTACATAAAACCTGCCTGAGGTATCAGTCTGGGGCCCTCCTCCCCCCAGGGTTCTGCAGGAGACACACGGGAAGAGGTGACCCCTCCAGGCTTCCTCCAGCGCCAAGCGTGGTGCCCAGTGCCTTTCTGTTTTGCTACTGGTTTTGGAACAGGGAGGTCAGGACGTTTCCTAATCTGCTGGAAACAGACGGGTGGAGCCTCTCTGCTGCAGGGTTAGTTAAGCCCAACACCCCTACACATGAAGGTATTGGAGCTGGGACTGTTTAGTTTGAGGAAGAGGAGGCTGAGGGGAGACCTCATCACTCTGTACAACTACTTGAAAGGACACTGTAGAGAGGTTGGTGCTGGTCTCCCAGGTAATTAGTGATAGAAGAAGAAGCTTCTAGCTTCAACAGGGTAGGTTTAAACTGAACATTAGGAAAGAGTTCTTCACAGAAAGAGTAGTCAGACACTGGAATAGGCTGCCCAGGGAGGTGGTTGAGTCCCCATCCCTGGATGTGTTTAAGGGATGTTTCGATGGCGTACTGAGGGATATGGTGTAGGAGAGGACTTTGTAGAGTAGGGGAGATGGTTGGACTCGATGATCCCAAGGGTCTTTTCCAACCTAAATGATTCTATGATTCTATAGTTTTGGCCTCTGTGCGCTTGGAGAGGCATCCCACCTGATGTTTGAGGAATTTAACCCAGATTCTTCTGCCTGCTCTCATTCTCTTCTCCCCCATCACTCCACGGAGCCTCTATGCAGTTGGCAGGGCTGGTGAGCTGGGAAGAGCTGCTGGCCATCTTCCTCCTGTGCCTGCTACTACTCCTCGAGGTGCTGCTCTTCCTCGAGGTGCTCCTCCGAGCCATGATGGTCATGGGGCTTCTGATCTACGTGCTCCTCACTAACTGAAGCAAAGTGGGGAGGACACCTCTTATTCCCCCCCAGAGGTCTTCAAGAAGGAGACAAGAGGAGAATCACACCGACCTCAAGAAGAGATGGAGGGAGCCGTGAGCAGCAGTCAGAGGAGGGGAGGTATGGCCGCCTTCTGGCTTCCCACGTTCCGTCCTTGCTTGGCAGCTTTGTCATCTTCTGTCCCAAAGAGAGAGCCCCCAGCAAACCCAAATCACAGCTCCGGGCCACTCGTCCCCTTCTGCCTAAGAGGGGACTGAGTCCTGGTGTAAACACCCGCCGTGTGTGCGCTGGTGAGTGTGCACAGACACACACTCACTCTGTCGGGCGCTTCCTCCTCCTTCAGGCTAGACCCTCACTTTCCCGCAGCAGAGTCTCAGGCATCAGATTTTATAAAATAATTAATGTAACTGGAAGGTACAGCAGCAAGGACAGCCCGGGCTGGGTGCCTCCAAAGAGGGACCCTGATCAAAGGAATCCCTGGGCAATGATGTCCTTGTGACCCACACACCCGTCTCTCAGGTGTCTTTTAGTCTGGGATTTTTGGCCTGGGGTCTTCTAACATCAAAACAGGTTCTTTTCTTGTGTCCAGGGAGGCTCTTACCTTCTTGATTTGCAGCTTCAGCTGGGGGCTGGAGCCCCCTTATCACCCGTTTTATGCTCCCGTGCACCAGCCCTTGCTGGCAGAACGTGGGGAATTGAAGAGTCCCAGACTCGGGAAAAACCCTACTAAAACATCAGAGAACTGGCCATGTGACAGAACTCAAAGTTGTCATTAATGGAGCTGGGTCGAGTTGGAGGCCTGTGACCAGTAGTGTCCCCCGGGGTCAATACTTGGTCCAGTCCTGTTCAACATATTCATCAATGGCCTGGACGAGGGGACAGAGTGTCCCCTCAACAAGTTGGCTGATGGTACCAAACTGGGAGGGCTGGGCGACTCTCCAGAGGGCTGTGCTGCCATCCAGAGAGACCTGGAGAGGCTGGAGAGCTGGGCAGAGAAGAACCTCGTGAGGTTCGACAAGGGGAAGTGTAGGGTCCTGCACCTGGGACAGAAGAACCCCAGGCACCAGTATCAGTTAGGGGTGGACCTGCTGGAAAGCACTTCTGAGGAGAAGGATCTGGGGGTCCTGGTGGCCACTAAACTCTCCAGGAGCCAGCAATGGGCCCTGGTGGCCAAGAGGCCAATGGGATCCTGGGCTGCGGAGGGAAGAGTGTGGCCAGGAGGTGGAGGGAGGTCATTCTCCCCCTCTGCTCTGCACTGGGGAGGCCACAACTGGAATCCTGCGTCTGGGCAGCCCTGCTTTGGCTGGGGAGTGGGACCAGGGGATCTCTAGAAGGTCCCTTCCAACTCTCACAATTCCCTGATTCCATGAGCGATATCAACATTTCTCCCGTATTAAAACAACAAACCCAGCCCTGCACCAGCTGGGGAATTACTAAGAGAAATAACTCTATTGCGGCCTAAAGGCTTCAGCAGATCCCGCTGCTCCTGCCAAACGAAGGCAAACAGCACAGATCAGGCCAATTAGATTCTTCTAATTAAAACCTACTTATTTGCAGTGAATAACTAATATCCCTCAAGAGGATTCTCCCCTGGGGCTGTGGGGCAGGGCGGGGTGCAGGTGGCAGCGCCCTACCTTCTCCCCCGGAGTGTTTATAACCGGTATTTTGGGCTAAAAGCCGGCGTTTTACAGGAAAAGGGTTGAACCCTGTGCCGCGGGGCAGCCCTAGGGCAGGCGGCAGCGGCGCGCTCTGCGCATGCGCGGAGTCCGGCACCCCCCCAACAGACTACACTTCCCAGCGTGCCCCGGGGCACCGCCCAGGCGCCATCTTGCGGCCTGAGGTGCTTCCGCTCCCTCTGCGCTGACTCTGCCTTCCGCTGGGCGCCGCGGGGCCGGCACGGTGAGGGGCCGGGACCGGGACCGGGACCGGGACCGGGACCGGGACGGTCGTGGGGCTGGGGGCTCCCCGGGGAGCATCGGTGAAGTGGGGGGGGGAACCCGGTGGCGCGTCTCCCGGTTTGCGGTGGGGGGAGCCCGGGTCTGCGGGGGCCGCTGAGGAGACGAGAGGGAGCGGGCGGCGCGGCGGGAGCGCTGGCGGCCGGGCCTTCCCCCGCGGGCGGCGCTTTGCTGAGGGGCATCTCCGAGCTCCGCCGGGCTGTGGGGATGTGGGGGGAGCCCTGGGGCTGTTCGGCTGGAGCAGAGCAGACTGAGAGGGGATCCCATCGATGCTGAGCAAGAGCTAAAGGGTGGGGGGGGGAAGAGGATGGGGCCAGGCTCTTCTCAGCGGTGCCCGGGGACAGGACAAGGGACAACGGGCACCGGGGGGCGCTGAGGAGGCGAGAGGGAGCGGGCGGCGCGGCGGGAGCGCTGGCGGCCGGGCCTTCCCCCGCGGGCGGCGCTTTGCTGAGGGGCATCTCCGAGCTCCGCCGGGCTGTGGGGATGTGGGGGGAGCCCTGGGGCTGTTCGGCTGGAGCAGAGCAGACTGAGAGGGGATCCCATCGATGCTGAGCAAGAGCTAAAGGGTGGGGGGGGGAAGAGGATGGGGCCAGGCTCTTCTCAGCGGTGCCCGGGGACAGGACAAGGGACAACGGGCACAAACTGGGACACGGGAAATGACCGTGAGGGTGGCAGAGCTCTGGAAGAGGCTGCCCAGAGAGGGTGTGGGGTCTCCTGTGTGGAGATTCCAAACCTGCCTGGATTTGATCCTGTGGGACCTGCTGTGGGTGACCCTGCTTGGGCCGGGGTGGGACTGGGTGGTCTCCAGAGGTCCCTTCCAGCCCGGGATGCTGTGGGAGAGAAGCCCAGGGTGGAAATGGTGGTGTGACGAAGGAAGTGTCCCCTGGCACACAGAGTCAGGCTCTGACACAAGAGCAGGTTTTGCGTTTAAAAGCTTTAACAAGTTTCGTGATGGGCTGCACCTCTAACAGGCCATGCGGCCCCTCAGCAGGGCAGCTCCAGGGATGCCGGGCTGAGGGAAACTGGGACACGTGGCCCGGAGCAGGGATTCTGGGGGAGAGGCCGCTGGAGGGAGTTGGTGGTTCCTCGGTGGCTGGAAATGGGAAAGAACAACAAACGTTGGAAATGAGGAGTTAGTACTTAGTGGGAAGAACAGAGAATTTGATGGGGGGGAGAACTAATTCTGTTTAAGAATTAACTGTTAATTGCTAAAACTGGTGAAACCACTAATTGCCGAAGCTTTTGCTCTGAAAGTTACTAGAAGAGGCTGATGAAGACTTTTGCCGGTTACTGAGGTGTGATAATGGGGAGTGGTAGCTGCTGGGGCTTTGAGAAGGGAGAAAACCGTTGCCTTTTCTCCACTCCTCTGGTCTGGGCCGGTGCTGGGCCACTGCTCACGTCCCTGCAGGGAACCGCACGGGTGTCTCAGGGTGTCACAGACTTGTGTGGAGCCAAGGCAGCTTTCTGCCAGCTTGGGAAAATCCTTTATCAACACTGAATTGTCCAGCTGTTCATGTCTCACAACGCATGAATCCACAAACGGTCTTGTTTAGTTGTCCTGTTCCTGTTCTTTTTGCATTTAAATCCTCAATGACACTCTGTTCTCTGCTCCTTCTAGATGAAGCTCCTGATTCTTGCTGCGTTTGCCCTGTTTTCCGTGGCCCGCTGTGAGGAGGGCGCCAGGCTCCTGGCCTCCAAGTCTCTGCTGAACAGATACGCGGTGGAGGGCAAGGACCTGACCCTGCAGTACAACATTTACAATGTTGGCTCCAGGTAAGCCACGTCCCGGCTGTGAATTCAAACGTTACATGTGTGTGTCTGTGGGGTATGAAGCTATTTCTACGCTCCCTGACGTGCTTTAACCTTTGCTCCCCCCATCTCTGAGCTTCCCACCGCCGCCTGAAGGTCTGACACTGCAGTTTGCCTTTTTCTTCCTATTCCGTTGTCCCCACTTTTCCCTCTTTCCTGCTTTCACCTCGTGGCTGCTCCAGCTGTTGGCACAGTGTGGTGTGGTTCCTCCTGTGTCTCTGCTCCCCCTTCACGCACTTCACTTTCTTGGCTTTGTGAGCTCTTTTTTCACACGTGGTTTCCTGTCTTTTTTGCAGTTTCTCTGGCCTTTGCTGTCTTCTTTCTGCAGTCTCCCTGTAATACACCTTGACTCTCCCCCAGATCTTCTCTTGGTGATTTTTCTGTTTCAAAAATCAGTTCTTCCAGCTATTGAATCGTCCCTCTTTGGTGCAGTCCCCCGTGGGCAGATTGCCAAGTCTAAGGTTCTCTTTTCATCCCTCTCTTTGTTGTGTTTAGTGCTGCTTTAGACGTGGAGCTGTCGGATGATTCCTTCCCCCCCGAAGACTTTGGCATCGTCTCTGGGATGCTCAACGTCAAGTGGGACAGGATCGCTCCGTATCTTTTCATGTTTCTAAAAGTCTCCCAATGCTCCTCCTTACCCCTCGGCATCCTGTAGCTCCCCTCCCTTGGTTCCTTGTCGCTGGAATTCCAGCCTGCCAGGCCCTGGGCAGGGGATTGAACACAAACCTCTGTTCCCCTCCAAGATGTGGTGTAAAAAAGGTTCCTTGCAAGCAGGGCTGGATCCCTTTGTCCACCTGGGCAGGAGCTGGATCAGCCTGGGATGGGGCTGGACGTCTGTGACCACAGAGGACTCAGCAGCAGGACTGACTTTTCCACCTGGGTTGAGACTCTTCTTTCTCATGGCTTTTCTTTCTTTGATGAAATGCCAACTATTTTCCTTAACTCCCGCCTCTCAGAGCGAGTAACGTGTCCCACACCGTGGTCCTGCGGCCTCTCAAAGCCGGTTACTTCAACTTCACCTCCGCCACCATCACATACCTGGCGCAGGAGGGCGGGCAGGTTGTGGTGAGTTAACTATTTATAAGAATCTTGCCCCAAAATCACCAGCAGATACACCCGACTCTGCTCTTTGAGCTGCTTTGTTAGGGGGTGATCATAGAATCATAGAATGGTTAGAGTTGGGAGGGACCTTAAAGATCATTGAGTTCCAACCCCCCTGCCCTGGGCAGGGCCACCTCCCACCACACCAGGTTGCTCCAAGCCCCCTCCAACCTGCCCTTGAACCCCTCCAGGGATGGGGCAGCCACAGCTTCCCAGGGCAACCTGTTCCAGTGCTTCACCACCCACCCTCACAGTAAAGAATTTCTTTCTGGTATCTAATCTAGATCTCCCCTCTTCCAGTTTAAAACCATTACCCCTTGTCCTGTCACTACAATTCCTAACAAAGAGTCCTTTGCCAGCTCTCCTGTAGGTTCCCTTCAGATATTGGAAGGGATGTGTGTCCCTGTGCTCTTCTGCACAGGCTCTGTTGCAAGAAGAATAAGTGGCAAAAAAAATATTTATTATCTTTTTCCCTGCCTTTTTCAGGTTGGTTTCACTAGTGCTCCTGGGCAGGGAGGGATCTTGGCGCAGCGGGAGTTTGACAGGAGGTTCTCCCCGCACTTCGTAAGTACCTTCCAGCTGGTAGCTGAGGTTGGGCCACGCGGTCGCTGCGGTGCAGCACAGGGGGTCTCTCTGTAGTTTGTGCTACAGCTGCAGGGTTTGGTTTTTGCTACCGTCACCTGGAGAACTCCAACATGGACTCCAATTAATCCGTATCCCAGAAAAAACAAGAGTTTTCATCCCACTTAGCTCTGTGGAAGAGCTGGCCCCATGGGATTTGAGCCAAAAGCTTTCAGAGTAGAAGACCTGAAGATAAGACTCCCCTGAACGTGGCTGGGTTTGACTTCTTTCTAACGATTTCTCTTTCTAGCTGGACTGGGCAGCATTTGGCGTGATGACCCTGCCCTCCATCGGGATCCCGCTGCTGCTGTGGTACTCGAGCAAGAGGAAGTACGACACCCCCAAGACCAAAAAGAACTGAGTAAAATCAAATGCCACCGGCACCCCAGAGCTCAGGAAAGAATGAACATTGGCCCCCCCCAGAGCAGCGGGTGCTTTGGGATCAGCAACAGCCACCCCTCAAGGCGCTGCCTGGGCTGGAGGAGGGAATTGATGGCTTCCCTGGTAGAGACCTGTTGTCTTCTACGTTTTAAAAAGCAAATAAGCAAACAAAAAAAAAAAGCAACCCAACTGAAAATCCCAAGACTTGAGACATGTGTGGAAGGAGCTCTGTCCAGTGACAAAACCAGGGCTCCTTGTGACGGAGGTTCGTCGGAGCTGTGGCTTTGCTGGGAGGTCCCCGTCGATGCTCCTTCTCTAGGAGGTGGCCTTGTGCTTCGGTGAGCAGTTAATTGCCGTGTTTCTGTCCTTTCTGGTTGCTCTGTTGCGGGTTGGGGTGTGTTGAGGTACTGAGGATTTTGTAATAAAATGAACACCGTGAAAGAAGCTTGTCTGTCTTTTACCAGGGAGTCCTGGAGGCACCTGGTTGCCTTCAGCAGCAGCTCATGGGCACACAGGGAGTAAAATACATCACTGTGTTACCAATAAAATACATGGAAGAAGGAAAGAAGGGCCCAGAAGGCGTCGTATCTTGAACCAGCTTTCCCGGTGGCTGCAAGCCCTAGTAGGAGATTTCTCCTCCCAGCCATAAATAAGTGCTGTGGCTGTGTGTTGGGCATCAATTTGTGCTTTTCCTGTGGGGGGGTGGTGGCTCAATAAGGACCTGCAGGTGCTGAGAGTCAGAATTACACAGAATCACAGAATGATACAGGGTTGGAAGGGACCTCTGGAGATCATCTAGCCCAACGCCCTACCAAAGCAGATCCACCTAGACCAGGCCCCACAGGAACGTGTCCAGGAGGGTTTTGAACATCTGGAGATGGAGACCCCACCACCTTCCTGGGCAGCCTCTTCCAGGGCTCTGCCACCCTCACAGGAAAGAAGTTCCTCCTTGTGTTTAGGTGGAACTTCTTATATTCAAATTTGTGCCCATTTCCTCTTGTCCTGTCACTGGGCACCACTGAAAAAAGACACCCACCCTTAAGTATTTATAGGTGTTGATCAGGACCCCCCCCCTCAATCTTCTCCAGACTCAAAAGCCCCATGTCCCTCAGCCTTTCCTCCCAAGAGATGCTCCAGGCCCCTCAGCATCTCTGTAGCCTCTGCTGTCCCCTCTCCAGCAGTTCCCTGTCCTTCTGGAACTGGGGAGCCCAGAACTGGTCCTGTTCCTCCAGATGGGGCCTCCCCAGGGCAGAGCAGAGAGGCAGGATAAACTCCCACCACCTGCTGCTCACTCTCTTCTTGATGTACCCCCAGGGCCTTCTTGGCCACAAGGCTATTTCCCCACCACATTTCCCCGCGGTGCCAAGCAGAAGGTTCTATGGCCACACTGGTTTACGTTTCCACACTGTCACCTGCACAATGCTGGTCACTGCTGACAAGGCTCGGGGATTTCTTTTAAAGCTCTTTGATTCCTGTTGACATCTCTCACAGATTGAACATCGCCCTTAACAACATCCCGCTGGGGGCGCCAGAAAGCAAGAGAAAATCAAAAGACATGGACAAACAGCAGCTTCCCACCCAAGCTCTAACGGCCTCATCTCTTATTTACAACGGGAAACAAACCAAACCAGCGGTTAGGTGGGAGTGTCGACCTGCTGGAGGGTAGAGAGGCTTTGCACAGGGATCTGGACAGGCTGGATGGATGGGCTGAGGCCAATGGGATGAGGTTCAACAAGGCCAAGTGCCAGGTCCTGCCCTTGGGTCACACCAACCCCCTGCAGCGCTACAGGCTGGGGGCAGAATGGCTGGAGCTGCCTGGCAGAAAAGGACCTGGGGGTGTTGGTGGCCTGTGGGCTGAACAGGAGCCAGCAGGGTGCCCAGGTGGCCAAGAAGGCCACCAGCATCCTGGCCTGTGTCAGGAGCAGTGTGGTGAGCAGGACTCGGGAGGTGATCGTCCCCCCATACTGGGCACTAGTGAGGCCCCACCTTGAGGGCTGTGTCCGGTTTTGGGCCCCTTCCCACAAAAAAAGACATTGAGGGGCTGGAGCAGGTCCAGAGAAGGGCAACAAAGCTGGTGAGGGGTCTGGAGAGTAAGTAAGTCTTATGAGGAGAGGCTGAGGGAGCTGGGGGTGTTCAGCCTGGAGAAGAGGAGGCTGAGGGGAGACCTTCTCGCTCTCTCCAACTCCCTGAAGGGAGGGTGTAGCCAGGGGGGGTCGGTCTCTTCTCCCAAGGAACAGGTGATGGGACAAGAGGAAATGGCCTCAAGTTGCACCAGGGGGAGGTTCAGATTGGAGATTAGGAACAATTTTTACATGGAAAGGGTTGTTAAGAATTGGAGGAGGCTGCTCAGGGAAGTGGCTGAGGCACCTCCCTGGACAGAACAATTTTTACATGGAAAGGGTTATTAAGAATTGGAGGAGGCTGCTCAGGGAAGTGGCTGAGGCACCTCCCTGGACATGTTCAAAAGACGGGTTGACGTAGTGCTTAGAGACACGGGTTAGTGATGGGGGGTTTTGTTTGTTTGTGGGATTTTTTGGTTTTTTGTTTTTTTAATCAGAGGTAGGTTGATGGTTGGACTAAATGATCTTAAAGTTCCCTTCCAACCTATGATTCTATGATTCTATGATACAAGACCAAATATGCAAACTCCCATATATAAAGGGAGTTCTTCCCAAGGCTTTTCATAGAATCATAGAATGGTCTGGGCCGGAAGGGACCTCCAAAGGTCATCTAGTCCCACCTCCCCGCAGTCAGCAGGGACACCCCCAACTAGACCAGGTTGCCCAGGGCCTCGTTGAGCCTCACCTTGAATATCTCCAGGGATGGGGCCTCAACCACCTCCCTGGGCAACCTGTTCCAGTGCTCCACCACCCTCCCAGTGAAGAACCCTCTCCTAATCTCCAGTCTAAATCTGTTCCCCTCCAGCTTGAAGCCATTGCCCCTTGTCCTGTCACTGCAGGCCTTTGGAAACAGGCTCTCCCCAGCCTTCCTGTAGCCCCCCCTCAGGTACTGGAAGGCCACTGTTAGGTCTCCCCAGAGCCTCCTCTTCTCCAGGCAGTTCCCTGTCCTTCTGGAACTGGGGAGCCCAGAACTGGTCCCAGTGCTCCAGCTGGGGCCTCCCCAGGGCAGAGCAGAGGGGCAGGATGACCTCCCTCCACCTGCTGCTCACACTCTTCCTGATGCCCCCCAGGATGCCATTGGCCTTCTTCGCCACCAGGGCCCATTGCTGGCTCCTGGTCATCCTATTGTCCACCAGGACTCCCAGGTTTTTCTCCTCTGAGCTGCTCTCCAGCAGGTCACCCCCAACCTGTCCTGGTGCAGGGGGTTATTCCTCCCCAGACGCAGTACCCTACACTTGCCTTTGTTGAAGTTCATCATGTTCCTCTCTGCCCAACTCTCCAGCCTGTCCAGGTCTCTCTGGATGGTGGCACAGCCTTCTGGTGTGTCAGCCACCCCTCCCAGTTTTGTATCATCAGCAAACTTGCTGAGGGGACATTCCATCCCTTCATGCAGGTCATCGATGAATATATTGAAGAGGACTGGACACAGTGCTGACCCCTGGGGAACACCACTTGTTATGGACCTCCAACTAGATTCTGTGCCCTCAATCATGACCTTCTGAGCTCTGTCTTTCAGGCAGTTTTCTGTCCACCTCACTGTCCATCCTTCTAACCCACACTTCCTAAGCTTACCTATAAGGATGCAGTGGGAGACCGTGTCAAAAGCCTTGCTGAAGTCAAGGTGGACAACATCCAAAATTCTGATTTTTTCAGTAGAAATAATGGTCATCTGCATCATATGGCATAGAATACGAGTGATTTTCTTTGGAATCAGTTTAAATGGAGGAAAGACCTGGCAAAGGAGAAAATATTCTGCTGTAAAATGTTATATAGGTTTCTTTTGTGTGAAACCACTAGACAGAATACCAGGTGTTGAATCACATGAGGAGATCTTGGCGCAGATTTATTACAGAGATTTCTAGCGAGGGATGTGATTTTGCCTTCTGAATGAAAGGATGAGGAGAAAGCAAGGGACACTCTGCCAGAACACAGAAATGGTATCAATGGTCCACAACAACAATTATTTCTAGGATCATTTTTATATGAATTTAAGAGACATAAAACATCGAGGCTTCAGAATATCATAATAAATGGGACTTTTATATTTTTTTTCTTAATGAACTTTGAAAAAAGGGATTCCACAGTGGGTCAGAAACACTCAAAGATAAGCAGATTTAAAGGCTGTGCACTCTTAGCTTGACTTTCCGAGGAGCAGAAGGAAATCTTCTTTCCACCTTGTCCCCGTTGTCTGACCAAAGTAACATCTTGAGCACATACAATTCCGAATATTCTCCCACTTCTTCCTTTTGCCTGTGAAGACACTTTCCCATGACCTCACTGTTCATTTCCTGTATGATAACTAAGAGAGAAGTCAGGCAGGAACTGTAACTGCTGTATTATTGAGGCTTGAACTTTGAGATCTCCACAGTCCGAGATAAAGGACACACAGAGCTCTGAGTGGCAAAATACCATCTAAGGGAGGGAATCAATTCCTCTCTCAAAAGAAAATTAATGGACTGAGCTACCAAGTCTGAATTAGTGCAGAGATATATCGCTTTTTCAGTCATGTTTCACATGCCCATGTGGTAACACGGAAACACAGGCAGTGGGAGATGAAAAAACATTTCAGTCCTGCAACCGGGAATCTGAAAGAGTTTTACAAATATGAGTTAATTGCCACAGCCTGCCAGAAAAAAAGTTATCTAGAAATTCATTAACATTTTACAGAAGGGTACGTGGAGACTATCCTGAGAACTCACTGCTAGAGCTGGTGATTCCAGCCCTGACACAGCTCATCTCTACCAACACTTACACAGTGAGCCAGCGAAGAGCAAGGCTGTAAACGGGTTTTATTCTGTAATTATCAGTTCTGGTTTTTTCTATACGAGGTGAACATTATCAGTTAGTGCTTGAGAGTGCACCAACCTGCCAGCTGTAATATACAAGTGTAATGACAGGAGATGCTGCCTGCAGCTTCAGGTTCACCTACTTGAAGTATTTCCTTCACGAGGGAAGTCCGTGAAAAATCAGGGCTAGAACCTTAACAACAAGACTTGCCAACCTCAAGGAGATTGAAGACAGAAGGGGAGAGGAGAAAGGAAGAAAGTGCTTCTTTTCCCATTCTTCTTGAGGGCTGTACCCATGTCCTGCTCTGGATGCTTAATCCTAAACCCTAAGTGCTCCTCTCTGTGGGCAGGGAAATACATCCGACCACATCCGGTTCTAGAAACGTTTGGACTTCCCTAAGACTGCACCACCTTATCAGAGAGATCCACCCCCGGCTCACACATGTCAGACACACACAGGTAGGCTGTAACTGGTCGCAGGAATCCCCAACAGAAATCATAAATTCCCAGGCTTAAAAATCCAGACTGCAAAGAGATG